TCCTCCCCCCCCCATGGGCTGGGGGATTCTTGGTTCTCCTTTCCTCCTCTTACTATCCCTGTGTGGCATAACAAGAGGAGGGAAGGGATCAAAGGGTTCCTCTAGCCCTTGGCTGTGGGATTGCTTTGGTTCTTGCAAGAAAATGACCCGATGAAAGAATTGAATCGTTGTTTGTCAGGTCACTGGGGGGCAATTCATGGTTCGTGGGTTGTCAGGTTTTGGCACTTCATCCCCATCTCTAGTTTGAATGTATTCCATGGCTACACCTGGCTGAAAATTATTCAGGCAGTATAAGTGAAATTCACAACAGCATTTCCTAACCTAGTATATTGTACTTCTAGGTAGTTTGCTCAGAAACCTACTGATTAATTATGCATGCATGACTGAAACTGTAAACGGCAGCAAATTGCCGCTAATTAACAAGATGTGAGCTACATTCTTGGTCACATGCCCATATTGTGAGTGGCTGCATGACTAGGACAGCAACTAACATCTCCTTAGTGGGCAGCAATTTGCCACCACAACTTACACAATTTGATTTATGCATGAGAAATTCATCAGTAAGATTCTGGCTCTTGGATTACTCAAATTCCCACAATCCACACCCCTATGGGTCTTTTTAAAAGAGAAATGTGGGGTAATAAACAAACAAACAACATTGCTCAGTGGTCAGAGAATATGGAAAGAATGAGCCAAATCACCTGGAGGATACCACGTTATCTACCCTCAACCAGGTTATCTAGTGGGCACTATATAAAAAAATGTTCAGGGTGCTAATTTTATGCACCTTCTCCAAATTACTGTGGCTCTCATTCAGGTAACCTAGTTTAATCAAGTAAAAACATAACTGTAAAAGTTATCAGGCAAGAGAAGGAAAGAAAAACTACTCTGTGGAATGTGCCCTGCGTGTGCAAGTTTCTGATCGAAGCAAAAGATAAGAGCAAACAAGAAAGAGGTCATAGGCCTGGTGTTCTCTTTACACTTTGATGCAGGTGCTGTGTGAGTCACATGGACAACTGTTAATAATGCTTTTTAAAATGTTTCCTTTTGTTCGCGTTTTGCTTGGCTTTGCTGATTAAAAATGCAGCAAATACCCTTTTCTTCATTCATCAAACAAGATCTGTGTAAAAAAAATAAGTGGAACGCACCATCACCACCATCTATCACTAATGACTTACTTAAGTGATTCTCCGCCTTTGCATGGGCAAAAGTAACAGAAAATGCCAGTAGCCATGTTGGCTGGGGTATTCTGGAATTTGTAGTCCAAAAAAGTAATGTTTCTCGACTCTTGGTGAAAATAGTTCTGAGTAATTTTTTTCCCTAAGCGTGTTTTCAAATGAGATATTTGTTCTGAATTACCACTCTTTGTTCACAACTTTTAATGGGTATGTACCTGTGATCATTGCCCTACTAAAATCATACCTTGGAGGAAAATACTGGTGAAGTTGGCTTCTTCTTCTTCTTCTTCTTCTTCTTCTTCTTCTTCTTCTTCTTCTTCTTCTTCTTCTTCTTCTTCTTCTTCTAAATAAAGCTGCCATGGTGCTCCCTGGAAGTCACATTTCCTTGGAAGTCACCCCCTATAGAGATTACAGCCCCCACCATTCTCCCTGACCAGAAGTCACACGACTGTCACATGACTGGCCAGCAAAAACAGCCCCTCTTGGGCTGGGGGATGCTGGAGCTTTAATTTCTCATGCTTCCTGGGAGTTGCAGTTCTTTGGTAGGTGCCTTCTGTGGTGCATACATCAGGCCCTAAAGACTGCACCTACCAAAAAGCTACAACTCCCAGGAAGCAGTGCAGGAGCTGTCAAGTAGCTTTCTTTTTCAAAAAAAATTAACAACAGGCTGTAAAGGCTAAACCAATGCAGCATCGGTGATAGGTCTTTTTCTAGATAGCAAAAAGTGGGGGTTTGCTGGGAATTTAAGTTAGAGAATTTAAGTCAATCAGTTTGAAGCAAATGCTATCATGTTTTTGTAGTTTAAAAGAGAGAAAAAACACATCCCTAGTTTTGATTAATTTTAGATTAGTTTTGATGCATGCACTGATTCTTAGGATAACAAGCTGTCAGATTTCAGTTTGCAAGTATATATGTGTGCATGCAAGCCCCACCCCCTCAAGAATTAATGTAAAATTCAGATGATTTTTTCCCCTATATTACATGGTTAAAGCAATTCTGATATTACTTTAACAGCAATGGCTCTATCCTATAGCATCCTGGGATGTCTACTTTGATAAAACACTCAGAAGTCACTAGTAGAGAACTTTGTGCACTTGAGTGCTAGTCAATCTTGATTTTGCTCTCTTGCTTTGATTATTTACTACAATATTTCTGGCAAAGTTTTATTCATTTAATGGGATATCATAAACAAATAAAAATTCATGTCCAATTGCCGCCTCCTCTCTCCTCTCAAGTAGAATGCACTTTTCTTTGTTAGCTGGAAATGCTTGCTGTGGGAAAGCAGCATATACAAATTAATTTGGCATATGTTGCAGGAATGGGTTTTGCCCCCAAATCTAAGATCTTTGAGGCAGAATCCTGGTAGCTCCCACAAAAACAGTTTCCTAAGAGTGTTTTTTTTAAAAAAAGCTTACATTTCTCTGTTGATTATGGATAGTCATAGTAATTAATCGATAAATACGAGTATGTTGTCTTTTTCAAATTGGTAGGCTGACACACCTCCCTTTTAGCTGACAGACAAGATGTTTAAATGATCACCCTTATTCAACGTCAGAAGCAAACAGTGTATTCAAAGCAGAGGTATGCTACACCTGAATCTTAGAAAGAAAGAAAGAAAGAAAGAAAGAAAGAAAGAAAGAAAGAAAGAAAGAAAGAAAGAAAGAAAGAAAAGTTTAAAATAAATAATTTCAAAGTCTGTTTTTAAGTTTTCTAAAGTGTGGGTAATTTTAAATAACCCTGGGTTTTTCTCAACATTTTTCTGGAAATATCCCAGATTGTAGTAGGTGTGTTTAATATGCTACATTAGGAATTAAAGATAAGAATTTTAAATTTAGGTGGGTGGTGATAATACATTGTTGCAGCTAATGCATATTATCTCTGCTGCATTTAATTTGTACAATGCAATATTAATTTTTCTGCAAGTAAAGTCACATTCAACCTCTGGCTATTGGATAATTCTATTATGAATGTATCTTATTCCAAGTTTCTTTCTTCCCAATACAGTCATACAAACTGAAGTTCAGAATTAACATGAACCATTGAGCTGAAGGTTTTTCGTTTGATGAATTCACTGGGGTTCAAGTAACATCAGGATGTGTAAACAAAATGTACCACATTTTCTCACATATGTAGATAATAAAGAATTATAATGGGAGTGGGCTGGAGACACTTTGGTTAAAGGTGAGATTAACCATCTGCTTCTGGACTAAATAATTACAGTGATGCAGAATAAATGTTTCATTTTAGAAAGAATCCAGTCATTGCTGATGTCATTATTATAGAAACAGCTGTGACCAATGTATGCAAATAACACATATTTTGATGCATGATTGGTCATAGTTAAGACTGTGGAAGAGGAGGAGGAGGAAAAGCAATGACATCTGCAAGAAACTACTCACTAATGCTCATGAATCTAATGTTTCATTTTGGTCCGAACAAAAACAATGACTGAATGTTAAAGTCCTTCCATTCACATTTGGCTGAGTTCATTCATAATATTTTACATCACCATCACCTCATTCATATTTTATACCATCATTCAGCTGAAAAAACAAAACAAAACCCGAGAACAAAATCAGGGGAATTCAGCATAAACTCCAGAACAGCGTAGGTTCTGAAACAGTTAACTGAAAGCAGTCCAGCAGAGGTAAAAGTATTGGAGAAGCTATGAAGAATGAAGTGTGCTGCTTATATATCATCCCATACTACTCCAAGCTCTCTCAGGGCGGTTCATCATTTCATTATGCAGGCTACACATTGCCCCTGTCATGTGATCTGTGTACTCAATTTATTGACCTCACAAGGATGGAAGGCGGAGTCAATCTCAAACTAGCTAACTGAGCCTGGGATTTAACTCAGGTCATGAGCAGTTTAATCACCGTGCCACAAGACTTCACTTCCCACCTAGAACAGTGGTTCCCAACCTTGAGTTTCCAGATATTCTTGGACCAAAACTCCAGTAGTTGTGCAGGCCAGGATTTATGGGAGGTGTAGTCCAAGAACACATGTGAACTCAAGGTTGGGAACACTGACCTAGAAGATGAAAACATAGTCACCAAATGAGCTTCCTGAGAATAGAGTTCCCAAAGTGAAGTGCCTTCAGGGGAAAATAAGTACTACCAGTCCTTCAATAAGGGGGGCCTATAGGAGATACTTCAGGAGAGATTTTGGTGCTTAGGCAGTTTGATGCAGGAGAAAATCATCCTTGGAGCATCCAGCCCCCTAGCCAGGTAGGTCTTTAAAGGTAAGCACCAATATTTTGAATTCAGTTTGGATATGGAGTAAAAAGAAACTGAGGAAGCCTCATGGAATAAGTTCTTGTCAATCTGCTGCAGCTAGCAGCAATATAATTTTCAATTAAGAATTCTTACTATCTGACCAGAGAAGGCTACACATTTGTTGTAACCCAGTGCCCTCTGTTTGTAAATTCAGCAGGAGCTTGTCAGCAGAAAGTGGAGAAAGGCAACTTCCTTTGCCAATGTCAGCTCCTTTCTTCCTCATTTCTCACCATTTTGTGAAGAATCCACCAACCCTTTGGAGGAAATTTTGACAGGGAAATTGCAAGGAGTGGAAAATTGCCTGCCTTCCATCCCACTGACAAATCAAACATCCTTCACCACAGGGACTGTTATCATTACCATGCACTCTCAGCAACTGTTAGCGTGGCCATGCTTGTGAACAGTGGTTCAAATGATAACTCTTTTAGCATATTAACAAACTGTTTGTAGTTTATGGATCACATTGCTCAGAGTTTAGTCCCAAAAGATGATTTATTTATTTATTTAAAATAAATAGGCAACTGACATCATTAAACAAGGCAGCTTACATCATAAAAAACACAACGTTAAATGTTAAAAAAGTAAATTTTTCAATTATTAAAGAAGAACTAATAACATTATATCAAAATGTTAGGCACAAGTATTACAAAAACAGATTTGGAAGCAACAAAAATATAAGCCATCCCATTTATCGTTTCTTCAACAGTCACTAAAGAAAAGCCTGCCTGAAGAGAAACGTCTTTGTCTGCTTGCAGAAGGACAGCAAAGGTGGGGCTAGCCTGACCTCCTGTGGGAGGGAGTTCCAGAATCTCTGTGCATGCACGCCTTGCATATGGATTGCAGAAGGTCCCTGATCCAATTCCTGGCATCTCTAGATAGAGCTGGTATGAAATCTGAATAGCTGCTGCTGATCACTCTTGGCTAAAACAAGCAGTATAGCTCAACTTCCTATATTCTACATTGTTTTTACTTAAACATAATACATGTACATATCAGAAGACTGTGATATAATTTCTATCCTAAAAAGAATTTCATTGAAAAAAATCCACTTTGAACATCTCTAATAGGATAATAACAATCTCTTATATAAAAACATCAAACAATAAGTTATGTAACTTGTGTTCAACTACAAAAAAATGTAAAGCATTGACTAAATTGAGGTATCTGAGTTGATAAATAAACTCTTATTAAAAATACTGCTATATACTGTAACTGTCTTTCCTGTAACATTTTTTCCATCTAGTGGCTACATTAAAACTATTTTTTTAAGGTAACAGTTTCCCTGTTATGAAGAACTCTCGGTTTCAGTTTCTCATCTTCCTTATAAGATATTCTTCAATGTAGTTAATGAAAATATCAAATTCTCCCATTGCTTTGTAGATTCCTTTTTCTTGCAGCTGTGAATGAAGGAGAAAGAGGATTATTTGCCACCATAATAATTATTGCAAGAAAAATAAACAGAAGCTGTTTATCATTTTTATTTGAAGACTTTATGTGAAAGAGCACTGTTTACAAGGCTTTTGGTGGCTCAGGGCATGAAGGGAGCTAAGGAAGGTGAACACAAATGTGAAGCAAAGGAGATGCCAACCCTTATTATGAAACCTTGCCTTCCCCATTCTCCCCTGTAATGTACACTGGAGGCCCATGATCTTAGCATACTCCTGCACTGATGAGATGAGACATCTCCCAGCTTGGATCATGGGTCAGCTATGGCCAGTGATAGAATGGTAAATTTACAGGGAGAAATTTGGAAGGGCAGGTGCGCATCATGACAATCCCCATAATACACACATACACACACCAACAAAAGGAGAGTCAAAAATTCAGACAACTGGATCAATTGAGGAGCAGGATCTTTTGTAAAGTTAATGCCTCTTAATTACCCATTGAAGATCTAACTACTTTGAATTATATCAGAAGTAGCCTGCAACAATTCATTGTTATTGGAGAAATCAGTCTCTCTCCCAGCTGCTGTGAGGGTTGTCATGAAACTCGGAAGGATTAGAGAAGCCTGAGTAGGGTGGTAAGTGTTGTTACAGTCCCTGATGCCCAGAAAAGCACCTTCTGCAATTTCCCCCTGCATGATATCAGTTTGTGAATAATAGTGAGTAGAAGAGATAGGAAAATTTATGTTTTAGACTGCAGCATCCATAACCCCAGACCAGTCCCTACAATTCTCATAGTTCTTCACCATTGCCATGGTGTCAAGGGTAGTTTATGTGCGGGAGAAGACTTACAATACTTGTATAATACAGAGAATGGGATCCCTTCTAAAGAGAATATTAAATATTCATTTTTAAAAATGAGCATTTTCCATTTTAATTAAAGAACGGAGATGTGACAAAAGGCAGAATCCTGCTTGCAGCAGTAGCTGTACCCTGAGCTATCACTGAACACCTAGTTGTGCAATTGATCACATGAAGCCCAAGAAGTGGAAAAAACCACTTGCTCAATTGTTCATGGTATTCATCAATAGGATTCTGGCCAAAGAATTTAAGCATCACTTATGACTGTACAATAAACACACTTGTTTATGTTTATTGTAACCAGTAGCAAGCTGCAGAAGTGTGTGTCCTATGTTTCTTGGCTGATGGGGCTAAAAGCCTCTGTTTGGATGTAATATTGCACTGAAAGCTCTGCATTAATTTAGTCTAACTCCTCTTCATGGCCTTCATCCAATGGTATCCCTGAAAAGCAGATTTCCCTCAAAATGCAGTATTCTGCAAGACTTTTCCCAGTCTTGTGGGTCACCCAGATCTTCTGGAGGATCCAATCTAGATGTGGGTTTTTATGCTATTACCACAGCAATTGAAATAGGAAGAAGGTATGAGCTGTCTGTGCCTTGTACACTGTAGTCCAGAAGCATGTAAGAAGGAAGCATGACTCACCCACAAGCTCACATGTGGCTTTTCCGTATAGTAAGCAAAGCCTCTTAAAGACAGTGACAAAAATTCTAGTAAGTTGTATAGGGTCATGACTGAGGGGAATGTTTAGCAATGCAGGAACCTACCTGTTTGTAGGTTTCTTTTATGTTCTTTATTGTATCATTCTTCTTTTCACATATGAAGAATTTATGCTGCAAAGAAGTAGCACAAGGGACATTAATTCACTGGCTTCCTTTTGGTTAGTACCTTCAGAACCCAACTGACTCTTAAGTTACAGTGCCTCATTTGGCTATGGATATCCATCAGTGCTATTAACATTTGTGCATGGAGATGACTTTAAGCCTTATGTGTCTGCTTTAATAATGCTCATCCAGGCAGCATTGAAAAAGCTGCATACTGTACTTCTTTCTACACTGACAGGGATATGCATCACATTCTGGAGCAGTTACTGTACTAATCAAACTGTAATCAAACCATGTGTGAAGGTATTTAATGCTTTGGGGAATGCTTTGTGCTTTTATTTCCCATTTCATTCCTTAAGAATTTGAAGTAATCCACTGTAACCCATCAACGGTGGTCTCCTGCTACTTCATCCATTTCAATTCTAAGTCTTCCCTCATTTTAGATGCTTGTTATTCTTGACACCAACAAAGTATAACAGCATATTCTATATAAGGATACCAACTAGTTTAAAATGACAAGGTTTGTTTAAGGATTTTCAGCAGGTGTGGCAATTACCATTCCTTCATGAACAAGCAACATCTTCTAAAATACTTTAATTTACTTTTATTTTTATTGAATGTATACCCCGCCCCTCTAGACAAAGTCTACACCTGATCACCATGACTTGAAACTTTGGAATGGTTGCATCACAAATATTACCTTTATACTAAACTATTAAAAGCCTCTCTCAAAGAATCCTGGGAAGTGTAATGTAGTGAAAATCTGAAAATCTTAGCTTTCATCAAAGGATTAGAACCCTAACTCAATTTGATACAAAGAATTTCTGCCTCTCATAGGTTATGCTTGAAGATGCTACAGTAATGTGCACTCTCTTGCCACCTTCCTTACATTCTCAATCATTACGTATCTGGTTTATATCACGTTTCTCAGTTGTACAGTGTCTATTGTGTCGTGATGAATTCCAGCACTTGTGAAGAGTGGAAATGGAGCAGGTGATTTCTGCTTTCTCTTTTCATTATAAATTAACTTTTCTACTGTTTTCACCCCTGACAAAGATCCAGTTTAAACAAAGGATTAAGTTACTGAATATCCCTTGGTCCTGAATAACAATTTTTTAAAAAGGGGTTTCCTGCTAGTCTCCTAAACACTAAGTCTGAGGAAGTGGACTGGTCCATGAAAGGCACTAAGTCTGAGGAAGTGGACTGTCCATGAAAGCTCACATTAAAATATAGCAGTTAGCCTTTAAAGTGCCACAACATTTTTGTCTCCTTTATTTTTTTATTTCTCTTTTGTTTTTGCATGATAAACAGCAAGATTTTCTTCATGCTTGCTCTCTGAGTCATACTGTGACCAGATGACACACTATAGAGATTACCACAGCAAAGCATAGTTGAAGTTTTTGCCTTCACAACGGATCGAATCGGCAGCTATCAGGTAAGAATTTAACTTAAAACTTGTTAAGGGAGATTTCAGCGCTGAACACAGAACACTTAATCCATAGGCTTTGTGCAGAACAAGATTTCTGTGTGAAACTTCATTCTTACTTCTTTATGTTTCTCAATTATAAATCTGTTTATACAGTCCCCACTGTAGTTAAGACAAGGATAAGCTGTGCCACTGGGTTATTTAATGAAGATAGCTATATCAAAGCCTATTTCACTGATATTGTTTCCTCTATGTGGACATTATTGCTGCATGCAGAATTAAGCACTGAGAAAATTTCAGTTTTCTCAGAAGTATATAATAATGTAGAAGACTGCCCAGTTTATAATTCTGTATACTAATCCTACTATTTTTGGTAGGTTTTTGGCACCATTAGGTATCATATCTGCTATCTGATTGGGCTTTGGATGAAGTGGATATTTTCTACGTGATTGATCTTTGGATGAATTTTTTCTTCACCATATGCTATGGAACAAAAGAAGAACGTGGCAATGCCTTTTTACATTTTCCCTTGGAACTTACAGTCTACCTAGACAATGGAGTCAGTTTAGAAAAGAAAAGGAAAAAAAAATACTTACACATCGCTTGATGGTCTGTTTCAGATCCAGCAGTGAATTGCCAAGAAAGCCAACATTCTGCTCAACTGCGCTGCCGGTGATCACTTTGGGTATGACATCTTCAAGATAGAACTGGATCATTTCTGCTACTGATTGGCACCCCAAGTACCCCTAAAGGGAAAGGAGGAAACTCTACAGTAACAGTGGTAAGATGCCAAGAAGAAGACATCTCAAGGAAAATCTGAGAACTGGTTCCATGGACGGTGAGGACCATACAAAAATTCTGTGGCTCTAAACAGCTCTTTTTTACTTTAAAGTTTCCTTCGCTGGGATGTGGTGGCACGGGCTGGGACGTGGTGATGCTGTGGGCTAAACCACAGAAGCCTGTGCTGCAGGGTCAGAAGACCAAGCAGTCGTAAGATCAAATCCACGCGACGGAGTGAGCTCCCGTCGCTTGTCCCAGCTCCCGCCAACCTAGCAGTTCGAAAGCATGCAAATGCAAGTAGATAAATAGGGACCACTTCGGTGGGAAGGTAACAGCGTTCTGTATCTCAGTCGCACTGGCCATGTGACCACGGAAGATTGTCTTCGGACAAACGCTGGCTCTATGGCTTAGAAACGGGGATGAGCACCGCCCCCTAGAGTCGAACACGACTGGACAAAAATTGTCAAGGGGAACCTTTACCTTTACCTTACCTTCCTTCCACTAAGTGGAAGGATTATCATCACTTCCCTTCATCATCCCATACTTCTTACAGAATTAGAGACTCATACCACCAAATTTGCTTGTTACTCTATAGATTGGGGGGAGGAAAGTAGACTTTAGGCTGTCATTCCCCAGCTGCTTCTTTTTATGAAAAAAAAGAGCAGCTCCTAAAGCCAGCAGGACTGGCAATTTACTTTGTAATTAGGGCTCCTCTTAAACTGGTAATGGCCATCTAATAATATCCATGTGCTGTCAAGTCAGTTCTGACTTATGGTTACCTTTGTCACAGTTTTCTAAGTAGCGGATAATCAGAAGTGATTTACCAGTGCTTTCTTTTGGGGGTGCCTGGGACTGTGCAGTTTGCCCAAGGCTACAGAGGCTGGCTCTCCTCCCAGTGGGCACACTGGGGAAATCAAACTCCTAACTTCTGGCTCCTCTGCCAGATACCTAACAGACTATTCAGCCAAACTAATGGACTTCTAGTTACATCACATTTCTTTCTTTCTTTGGCCACTTTTTGGCATGATGGTGGTTTGTGTGGCCTCCAGATAAATTTACAGGCATAAAAGTGGCCCTTGTGCCCATAGAAACTGTCCACCCAAGCCTTTAATGGTCCATGCTGGTATGTATATGAATTAATTAATTAAAGGCTCCTGTCCTCTCTTATCATTGTTTTAAACAACTGGCAATATATATAGTTTTTTTAAATTAATAAATCAACACCATAAAATTATACAGAATCAAAATCTCCTTAAAATCATAGCACTAACTGAGAAAGTGCTATTTAGGTCTCAATTACTGGAAGCTTCCAGACACAAGACAGCACAAGCAGCTTTTCGTCTGATCTTAAACAACAGGGAAGCTTGGGTGGGAAAATACATTAGGGCCCAAAGGCATTTCTATTAGCTATTTTTAGCTTCTGTTGTTTGTCCATTAAATCATACCATGAATGGACTAAACCTTATGGAATCTCAGTGCTTTTAGAAGCAAATAACTTTGCGGCATGTGTTGTTCATTCTTCTTTATTTTGCTTTTCACAACCAGTCTTCTGATAATTTAAATACAATAATTCTGATGAAGGCAGCTAGCAATTACCATTTCCTGCACAATTTCCCTTAATGTGAAGGAAATGCAGCTGAGAAGCTGATACTTCTTATCAGTAGAGCTCTGTATTTAGGTATTAGTATAAACTTTGAAATGTAAAACAACAATAACAACAACCCTGAAAATACCCTTAAGAATAATGTCTTCTAATTTTGTTAATTTAGCAATATAAACAAGAATGATCTTCCTGTGAGAAAAGCTTTCTTAGAATATATTTCTGCAAAACATATGTCCACACACCTTTCCATGACTCCAGAGATAAACATGGCCTTAAGCCGAATTAAATTGTTGAGGACAATCAAAATCTCACCTTGAAATCTTCCAATAAATCTTCTTTTAACAACATGATGTCCAACCTATCGTCTCTGGTTTGCTGGAAGAACATCCAATGAGATATCAGTTTTATTAACCCAGGAAAACATGAACACAGATTTTCACTTAGGAAAACCAGAATGCTTTGACTTATCAGTAAAGACAATGGAACACCTGACATTAATTTCAGTCACAGTTCATTTCTCTCCTTAATTTTGAAGAACTTCTTATCTGAAAGAGCAAATCTGCTAAAGCTGTGACTAGTCTTACAAAATGTTTAGTTGTTTAGGATGTACACATTTAAGAGTGAATGGTTTACATTTGATAGATGTTAAAACTCACATATTTTAGAAACAAAGGAATTCAAACTGATCTGAATAAACCAGATGTATATATCAGTCCCTTAAACATAATCCCTAATTTTCACTCATGCTGCCTAAAAAGCAAGAATGCAGTTCTTCAGTTTCAAATGTTCACAAACAAATTTGACAAAGTTTGGATGTTCATTATAACATAACACAAAATAATTGGAAGAGAGAAAAGAATCCAGGTTGCATCATTGCATTGGTCAGTACTGACAAACAAGGACACAATTTACTGAAAAATTATATAATTTCCATACATATAACATAGCATTTATGTCCCTAATTATGTCTTATAGTTATCACCACATCACAAAGTCATCTACCTTAAACTGCTTGTAAAAAGCATATATTTTCTATCCTCTCCTCTTTCTAAATTACAAATGCAAATAATGCTGGCTGAAGGAAAAAAAGTTATACTTACAAAATAATCTTTAACCTTATTAAATATGACTCTTAGCTCTCGCAGTCTACGAGGCAGGTTGTCTGCAAAATATTTGCAACTGCTATTGGCAAGTTGAGGATGCACTGTTGGCAGAATGAGTGCCAGGGACAGCAACGTGAGCACTGCAAGAGAGTTCATGTCTTCAAGATGTTTCTTTGTGGTCTAGCTTGATTTTGCAAGATGCAAGGAAGCAGATCTGCCCATTACCTTGATGGGCTCCAATTTATAACCCCAAGCAGCACAAATGTTCTTCCTCCTTTCCACAGGATATCGATGATGAATTTTCTAACCAAAATGTCAATCTTTCCCCATAAGATGTTTATGTGAAGTCACTCTATTCCCTTGTAAAATTGCTTATGGAAGTAGAATTAAGCACTCCCCCCTTTTTTACATAATTTGTTTCTTGATTTTTGTTGTTGTTATGGTAAAACAAAACAGGATGCATTTTCATTATCTTGACATTTGGTCCCTTTAGGTCAATACTCCTAATTTGAAGAGAAAAAAATGGATTCATCTTTAAATTTCTGAGAATCTCTTTCAGGCTGCTGTTTTCCCTTCTGAGTTTTTAAATCTGATGTCTCTAAAAAGCACATAGCAACAAAATTGAATTCTTTAAATACACATTATGTGCAAATAAAGTTTTATCTGGACAGAAATAGTCTGACAAGGACATACAGTATATCAATTATAAAGCAATTAAATATGCCTTTTACTGATTTTTCCAGGTATGTGAGAAATTTAAGAAATGTACTGTGTTTCAGGGATCCTAGTTTGTCGCTCTATCCTTGTAAATTAAATATTAGCCAAATCTTGCAATGTAAGGAGATAATGCCTTAGAGAAAACCATTTTCCTTTCAGGACTTGGACCTAAGTTGACTTAAACTGCTGCAAATTGACATGTCTCTTTCTGCTAGTGTTTCTGGTGTTTTGTACTAGAGAAGGATGTTTTGTGTGCCTGACAGCTTCACACAAAGCTGTCAGCATGGCACCAGAAGCTACAACTGCCTGTACTCGTCCCTTCAGGCAGCTGATCACTCCATCAGGAAGATGGTACAGGGATTCTCCCCGCGTAGCCGATGAGTGGTTGACTGCCAGAGGAGATGGGGATGGGTAGTCAGAACTCCTCCCTGGATTGGCACGCTGCTGGAGCAGAAGGACCCTGGTGATCCACAAAGAATGGGGAGTAGCCCAGATGGCCCGGGGCATGGGGAAAAGGCCTGCACAGCAACTGTGGCGCTGCACTGACAGCTTTGTGTGAAGCTGCCAGGCGCATGAAGTGCCCTTCTCAATTTTGTACACATTTAACATATTATATATACAGAGACTGGTGAACCACTTCTGAGTATTTTCATACCTAGCAAATGCTAGTGTGTTGTTATGTGCTATCAAGCTGCTTCCAACTTATGGCAACCCTATGAATTAGTGACAAAAGGTCCTCTCATCAACAGCCATGCACAACTATTGCAAAGTCAAGACTGTGGCTTCCTCATATTTGGTTGATCTCTTTATCTATTACCTTCAATTTTCTCCCAGTGTAATTGTTTTTTATGTGGGATGTGTCTTCTCACAATGTGCCTAAGGTGTTATGGAGTTAGCTTTAATCGTTTTTGCTTTGATGGTGGTTTTTACGCTGCTTTCCACAATTCCAGGTTCTTCCCCATATAATTCTTTTTCAAATGAATCTGTTATCTCTGCATCTCTTTTGTACAGCTATTCAATATAATGTTTCCAGTTTCTCATTTTGTTTTGGTCAGATAAGATGTTCCCCTGTTGAACTTTCAGTATGGCCAATCTATGTTAAAATTTCCTTTTGATTTCTTGGATTTTATAGAAGATATGTTTTTTCTTTTCCTCTTTTGTTGTTCCTTTTAATTTCTTTGCACTCATTGTTATAATCGTTCTCTTTATCTCTGTGTGACGGTAATTGAAAACTGCATTCAGGATTCTGATCCTATTACTCTCATCTCATACTATGGCTTCTCATCTGGCCTTAATGGTTTTCAGAGATTCATCATTCCCCCCTCTAAGCTGTTCTTTTCCTTTCACTGCATCAATTGTCATTTTGTGTTGTTCCCTAATAGTATTGCTGATTTCAGTACACAGTTTCCCTGATTAAATTAATTTTAGTAATGCAAATTTATTCCCCATATGGACTTTAAATAGAGGATCGACTTGACAGGACGTACTTAAATACATACTTTTGAACTTTACCGAGAAGTATATCTTTTTGTATTGCTGAGCCCTATAATGTTCTATTCCATGGTGTTACTCTTGTAACCCACAAAAATACTATGAACTTAATCTTTGTTTATCTTTTAAAAAATGTGTTATTTGAAAACAGTACAAATGTAGCTTTTTGAATCTCTCTTCTTATAGCCTAGGTCCTATAGCCCCCAAGGTAAATGAAGGACCATCTTTATCTGTATGAACTTGCCAAGCTCTTGAGATCATCCCTAGAGGCTCAGTTTGTTGGTTCACCTGTGAAAATCAGTCTGGCTGGTTTGACAAAAGGAAAGATTGTCATAGTGGAGGCCCCACTATTACAAATGTCCCTTGTGAGTGATATGCATATATAGGCCCCTTACTATGAATGGGTTCTGAAAACCCATTTCTTGTAGGTTTTAGGTGTTTTCTCATAAAGGATTTATTGTGTTACTGACTGGGATATTTTAAAAAGTTTGTTAAATATAAATGATGGTCTTATGCTGGGCTATGCATGGTTTTGGGCTGTGGTTTTAAATGACTGCTGAAATGAGATTCTGTGTCTTGTGGTTGCTTTTCTGTAAGCTGCCTTATGGGGAAGAAGACTCTTTCTTTTTCTTTCTTTCTTTCTTTCTTTCTTTCTTTCTTTCTTTCTTTCTTTCTTTCTTTCTTTCTTGGAAATAAGTTAATAAATGATGCAATCACTTTTCAACAGAAATACAGCACTCTATTGAAGTCAAGATTGATTGATTGATTGATTGATTGATTGATATGCCACCCTAGTTAGTGGAGACCAGTCTTACAACGTAAAATAGACCCTGTCCTCCCTCTTCCCCCATTAAAACAACCAACAAACCAATCAAATGCAAATACATAACTTGACCAAAAGAAACTAAATAATGGTGTCAAACCCCAACAATAAAGGTGACACATGGGTCACAAACCATATTAAATAAGGGGAGGATGTCTTTAAAGCTTCTTTGAAAAGTCTGTTCTTTAGGACTTTGGATGGAGGAGGCCTGCTGGATGTCCATAGAGAGGCCATTCCAGAGTGCAGGGGCTTGACTCCTAAATGAGTCCTCTCTTGGTGTGGCCACCAGCGAGGCTTGGGAGGATTGGGTAAAACGGGCAGCAGTTCTAAGGGATGATCACTATGGATGGTCCGAAGAAACTCATACGGGCCTCACTAAACCTATTAAATTTGGAACAACTCCTGAAGATGACAACAAATTCTAGGCACAAGTACAACGTGATCTTTAATTGAATGGGACACTGTAGTTGTACTTTCAAGGTAGTTTTTGCATGAATGTGTTGTGTTGAATTCTGTCAATCAATCTGAGTCATGATAGTTCAACGGGACCTCTGTAGGAAGGCAGATAAAAAAAAGCACTTGCACTCCATCTAGTCAGCACTGAATACAAGTGGGACAGAATGAACTTCCATTCCTTTCTTGGAAGCTTCTGAAGATAACTGGCTGGCTTCTGATGGATTAGTTTGATTTTTGTCGTTGCTTTTGTTTAGACGTTAAGTCGTGTCTGACTCTTCATCAGACACTACTTAATGTTGTTTCTGATGAAGAGCATGCCAGGCCCTCCTGTCTTCCACTGCCTCCCGGAGTTGGATCAAATTCATGTTGGTAGCTTCGATGACACTGTCCCACCATCTCATCCTCTGTCGTCCCCTTCTCTTCTTGCTTTCACACTTTCAGTTTGATTTAATAAGGCTTTTCTTATGTTCTTTCTCTGGTTACTTTCAGTAGGACAGGAGGCAGAAAAATCTTCCGTCTTTGCATTTCATAGGGTCTTAAGGTTTCGTCTGATTTTTTTTTTGTTGATTCCAATTATATTAGCTATAGTTCCACTTTGCTGCCTTTGCTTAGCTTAGCTAACCGTGTGGATTCCTCTTAGTTTCCCATCAGCCACAATGCAAACCATTATTATGATGTCTGCATAAATTATTTTACTCTTGTGTCAGTAGCTTGTCCCTTAGGATGCCTCAGTAAAACTGCTTCTCTATCGTTTCCCCAAACTGTCCGTTTGAAAGCCTCTCATGAAAATGGTGTGGTTGTTCACTTGCACTGATATAACATTTGCAAAAAAGAATCAAACGGGGAGAAAAAAGCATGAGTCAGGGAAATGGATCCACACTGCATATACATGTCTTAAACTAGGGAAATGGACTGGAAAAGCAACATAGATTTTTTATCACTTCCCATACCATAACTGAATTTAAGCAGTTCTCCAGAATGTACACAGTTTCCCCCCACAGAATGCTGAGTATCAGTTGGAGAGAGAGAGAAAAAAAGTAAAGCTGGCAGGAGACAAAAGAAAACAAAATTGCACGACATATCCTGAACCTTCCATATTGGCAGTATCTATTACAGGCCTCCCTCATCTGTCAAATTTTCATTGTAAAAGATCTCCTAGAAATGCTATAATTTGGTCTGGCTTTTAAGAGCTGGAGTGAGACAGATACTGGGTAAAAGGCAGTGCAGTGATTAAACTGCAGTACTGCAGTGAAACTCTGCTCACAACTTGGGTTCAATTCCAAGTACTTGGCTCAAGGTTGATTCAGCCTTACATCCTTTCAAGGTTGGTAAACTGAGTACTCAGCTTGCTGCAAGGGCAATGTGTAGCCTGCATAATGGCATTGCAAAACCACCCAGCAAGTGTTTTAAGCACTATTGGGTGGTATACAGTGGGGTCTCGACTTACGAATGGCTCGACATACGAACGTTTCGACTTTCGAACCGCTCTCATAGGAATATATGGACTCGACTTACGAACTTAGATTCGAGTTACGAACTCTTCCCCCCCCCCTTTTTAAAAGCTAAGTCATCTTAGGTTAAAAGGAAAAAAGAAAAAAATATCCCCCTCTAGTGGCAGAAGGCAGAATAGCAGCTTCCCAATAGTTTCTATGGATGAAAAGAGCAGATACGGATTAAATGGTTTTCAATGCATTCCTATGGGAAATGCAGATTCGACTTAAGAACTTTTCAACCTGAGAACTGCCTTCCAATACGGATTAAGTTTGTAA